TGCACTTGTTTATGGATTGGGGGCCCGTGAACCATGACTCAAGTAGTTCTCGCCTGACCCGATTATCACCTCTTGCGAGAATTTCGGCCTCACCAAATTCGAATGGGTGGTCGGGTCTGCTACTGTTTTCTGCTAATGTCTCTAATGATGAATCCGCGACGGATGTCGAAACGTCAGGCGAATACACGTATTGTCACAGCGATCGAGTCGTCTTCTTCTTAATTACGTCCTGGGACTCGCATGTTCGCTTGTATTGAGAACTTGGTCTGTTAATTCAGACATTGGGAAGTCTAGTGGTCGTCTACTGGACGGATATACAGTGAAGTCTCGGGTGACGAGCAGCTCCATCTACTAGCATTTCAGGTAACGAACGAACCACTGGCAGAACTTTTGTTTCGACTGACGAGCTTCCGCTCAGTTAATGAGCTGTCAGTGCGTGTGTGTGTGTGTGTGCTTGTGTCCGCCGTTGGATCGTCCTCCCAGGGCGTGGGTCATCGGTCGCCTGCAGCCAATTAGTGAACTGATGCAGATTGATTGGCTACGTTTCGCAAGTCGAACGTTTCACATGACGAGCTTGGTGCTGAAACTGATTAAACTAGATAATCAAGGTTCTAATGTATTTGGAAAAGTTGCATCGGCCATGATGACAAAATATGAAAAGGAGTTTCAAATTCCGAAGGGGTTAATCTGCGTGCCCCTTAACGATCACTGACAGAGTTTAAGTGGCAGAATCATCAAATGAACGAAAATATGCATTATTTGAATGCAAAATTCTGCTACTGCGCTAAAACGCAGTCCCATTTTCTCCGACTTTTTGATCTATCCTGCTTCCCTCGCAAAGAATCTTCATTTTAAGGTTGGCAAATTGATACACTAGATGCGACGCCTTTGTGAATCTTCCACACAAAAGTTGTTTAAATCCTTCGGGTGCCGGTTTTCTCACGGGCCAGAAAAAATTAAATAAAAAACCGTAAGACCCAACTTAAGTACCTGTTGTAACCGCGGTTATTTTATCTTTGGCGGCGTGTTTATTGCAACTGTGCTGCATCAAAATAAAGGATTTTCCACTTCTGTTTATGCCACTTTTCCTACGCTGGCCGGAACAACAGATTTGTTAAATGCGTTAACAATAGTGGTGGTATTCATGGTGATGACGATGATGATGATGATATTACTATTGTGGTGGTGGTGGTGG